AATATTAATAATAATAATATTAATAACAATAATAATAATAATAATAATAATAATAATAATAAAAATAATAATAATACCAGTATGGTTGAGTAAAAAAGAACTAGTAGGCAATAACCTTTCTTCATTATTGTATATTAAACTGAGAAAGCAATAACATTTATCTGAAAGAAATATTACTTAAATATAATAGAAATACAATAAAAACCATTTGACACAAACTCTGATTTTCTAATCTCTAAATCTATACAACCCTATATCGCAGACCCGAGACATGTCATACTATGAATTCGGTTAGATCATATCGATCATATAACCTAAGTTTGAAATATCAATGGGTATTGCCATCAGGATTAAAATATATTGGGATTAAGAAATCAGAGTTTGTGGCAAAGACACAGTTCCTTTGCTTATGAAAATGTAGGGAACACACATAGATAAAGATAGATTGCGCATAAGACGACATTTTTCATCTTGAAAGATATAAATGTACAGAGATGTTTTAAAGATATTCCTATTATATAGATTAACTAGGTCGGTTGTGAACATTGGCTGTTGTTATGTCATTGAGTACTTGTGGTGTACATGAGTTCTGTAGAGAGAAATTTAAGTTAGTTTAGTCCTTCTCATGTCCTTCTTCAGTTCTCGTCAATATGATATATTGCTCAGTGAAATATTGTTGTTCAAATAGTTCCATTCCCGGAGTTATTTTACACTCTATTCGGGAGGAATTATTAAACCTAGTAGATTGGAAAAGACACAATCCGAATGTTACCTGCAACGAACATTTTCCTAGTTATATAAAAGTGAATGGGAAAAAGTTGTCAAAGTCTGCTGTTCCCTCAATTTTTAACATTATCGGAGCTGTTCAGAACTGCTCCCTGGAAACTGTTTTGAACGAATATAATTATGCTGTCCCAGCTATTCAAAAGCTAAAGAAAATGTATGACGGAAACACGAGCAAAGGGAAAAAATTCCAAAATTAGAGTTATTCCCTGAAAGCTCAAAAAAGAAAACTCGACGAAAAAATTCGCAGTCTAGAATCTGTGATTGTCGAAATGAAAGACAAGTTCTCTTTACTAGAAGAAACTATAAACCTTCTTCACAGTTCAGCAAGAAAAATTCTAGAGGAGTTGTTTCAAAGAGTTATGAAAAGTTAAAATATTCGGATTGTAGAGATAAATATCTTCCAGCTCTCCGATCGTTTGCTTAGAAAGATTATTCTTTTTCAAAACCAGTGATTGTGATTGTAGACTAAATCTTTTTATCAATAAAAGTTTGATTTCATTCATGCACAAAGTTTTTAAATCTAGGTTTAAGACTGTTTTTATCATTTATGAAACTTCGCCACTTTGACTGATTTTTAAGCCGTATATCTTTACAACTTGATGGTCTTTGATATTTAAAACGACATGAATTTGAGTTTTTGGCAAAAACTCTGTTTCTTTATTAAATTTTCTCTATAAGAGAGAGCAAAATTTTTTATCAATTAGGTATCTCATTTTTGAAAAAATCAATCTGACACTTCTTGACTTTTAAAAAAGAGTCATTTTTTACAGAGCTGGAGTTGTCAAGGAAAAATCAAAAATACCTAGGAACTTAAAAATAATTGAGCTATGACCCTTAAATGTTCTACCTCAACCCCCCCCCCCATAATTTGATATTCTCAAAATAAAATTCACTCCTGAGTGGTTTAATAATTATGAAATCCATTAAAACACCAAACCATCCCACTTTACAGTGAAGTACACTTTGACCCCTAGAAGTTTGAGTTCGCGGACTAAAATTCTTGGTGATTTTGCGTACATAAGCTATCTATGTTTATTTATTTATCTATGGGGACACATTTTATATCAAAACAGTTACACATTATTATAACCATTGGCGTCGTTTTTCAATAAAAAATGCTAAACAAAGACGACTTTTATCCGGTGGACTGTAGTGAAAAATATACGTCAAAACGGCTGAACCGATCAGGCTCCAATTTTTGTGGTAACTCACATGACCCCAAGGAAGGGTCAACATTTCAAAAAACCTTAGTATTAAAGGGAGTGTTCGCGAAAAATGACTATAGGTTGTAATATCTGAATGATTTGTTTGAAATTAAATTGATTTTTTACGGTCTGAGTCATATGTGCAATTTTCTGAATTTGTATGGGAGCTAAGTTATTCGGTATGAGACATCTTTAACAATTTTCTCCTTATAGACGCAACAGATAGAAGTAAAACTAGTAGCGATCAAAAGCGCTTTTTATCGCATTACGCCTATACTCCCTTTCATTTTTCGCGAACACTCCCTTTAAAGAAAGCAATAAGATGATATCTTTCTTTTATTATTATTGAAGGTGTCCTGCAGGCCTCGGTATAAGATGTAAACTAGATAAATCAGGCAGTAAACTCCAGGCAGTTATTTCACAGGCAGATTTAGAGACAAGCCACTCCTAGCCAGCTTTTACCAGGAATGTTTGGATGCAAAAGGGTTGGGGTAAATCTGGTTTTTTAGGGTCAAGCAAACTCACGATAAAGAGAGTAAACATTATGCAATAACTTTGTCTTGCTAAATTTGAAAAGAAAAAAAAATGGAAAAGCTCGATAGTTTTATTTTCCTGATTAAAACAAGAATTCCAAACTCCACCAGTAATACCTATCAGATGGACCGCCGACGAAATTTCCAGTTACCGTTCTTTTTCAGATGATCAGATACAAGAATGTAATGCAAGGAAAGTTATTTCAGAAGTGTACGCATCTTTTGTACTGCAGTGTACTGTCTCTGGGCGGTAATGTAAACACAAGACGGATGTTACAGCCTGACATGGGATTCATCTTTCACATAAAAAAATCAATAAAATATTCTGGTCATAGGAAACTATTTTGTGAATTATCAAAATTATCAAATTTAATGCTTTTAACCTCCTCGGATACTAAACGAACACTGAGGCATCTATTTTTATTTACAAATTCCGCCCGGAGAGAACTGGTTTCAATATGTACACAGAGTATACGCAAAACTGCAATTAACTTTCCTTGCATTATAACCTTGATCAGATAAAGGTTCAAAAAGTATCGTTGTGTATCGGGCATACTACTACTATTTATCCTAAACGATTTAATATAATAATAACGATTTTAAATATCAACGGCGATTTTCAAAATAATAACAATTATCAAAATAATAACGATTTAAAATAATAATAACGATTTTAAAAGTAAAAACAATTTTAGAAAATATTAACGATTTTCAAAATAATAACGTTTTTAAATAATAATGACGATTTTCAAAATAATAAAGATTTTAAATGATAATGACAATTTTCAATAATAATAAAGATTTTCAATAATAATATAGATTTTCAACAATAAAACAGATTACATTTTGAAAATCGTTGATCCATGAAATACAAAAATTGTGTTGACCATGAAATAAATCAGACACAAAACAAATTAAATTCGTTTTTCTAAGACGTAAATAAATTAATATATTTAAAAAAAGGCCTGGCTAGTTTTAACAAAATTTATTTTGAAATCACACATTTGAAATGTCGATGAACTGTTATTTCATCTATAAGAACTTGACAAGGCAAGATCGAAGGAAAGGTGAAATTGCCTTCTTTTAACTCATTAAGTATGAAAAATTCATAAAATATGCTATTATTATTATGCTATTTGTTTCAAATCCCCGAAACCGCTTGGGCAATATTTTAAAGGGAACACTTTAATATAAATGGAATATCCGATTTACAACAGTACCTTTAAACCTTAAATCTTGTTTTTACTGTAAAAGTGTGTTGCTGATTAATGCTGCAGATGACAATGAAGCAATATGTTAGAATTCAGCACTTTTCAAGAATAAAAATATCTTCCACATTTTTACATTTTTACTTCGGTAATTTTTAGACATTGACGTTGAAAAGCTCGTAGCCAATAAGAATAAGAATAAGAACGAATTCGAAAATTTTCGTTTATTTTAGCGAAAATAATTTCTCTTTGCGAATTTCGTTAAAATTACATTTTTTTCGCAAATTTGGAAACCCTAAAAGGTCTTCGACTCTTGGTTTCCCTGTATTGGTTTTGTGGTTTACCGTGGGTTGATATTCGTCAACACTTATATAATAATTAACTGCCCGAGGGGGGGGGGGGTGGCTGGTATGGACTTACCATTTTTATGAAATTACTAGCTGAAGGGCCCAGCGTTGCCCGTGGAAACAAGACTTTAGAAAAAAAATTAGAAAAAAAATATATTTCGATTTTTGAAAAAAAAATCTAATTTTTTAGTCTTTGTTACCCGGGCGGGGTACTCAAGTGTTCCCTCAAAAAATAAGATCATATTAAAGTCAAGTTTGGCTTAAGAATAAAGTTTTTGCAACAAGCTTAAATTTTCTAACCCCTATAACTATGCAACCCAATGTCGTAGTAGACCTTTGATATTTCAAACTATGAATTCTGTTAAATCAAATAATCTAATTTTGAAATATCAAAGTTTAGAGCATTAGGTTCTAGGAAATGTGCACTTCACACTGATTCAAACGTCTTGGTCTCTTGAACCCATTCTGTTCTGTGATTCTGACCAATTAATCGTTAATTTTGTTGATAAAATTTAAAAGATATGTTTCGGCTCTTTTATGAATCTGCGATTTTCTTCTGAAATTGTAGAGCGGGACTAACCAAAAAAAGAACATTTTATTTTTCCACCGTAAGTCGAATTTTTGATTGAGGATGGGGGGGGGGGAATTGACTAGAATTGCAAAGGATAATCGTTCAGTGAATAAATGATTCTCCAGTGATTGTAAACTGTAGGTCGTGACACTTTTAGAGACATAAATAGGGTTTGCAATTTTTCCGTAATATTTTGATTCGACGATTTAATTTCGATTTTTCAAACTCTTCAAAACTTTTATGGAGGTTGAACATCATTTTTTATTGAAAGGAATTGAGTCTTTGCCACAAAATCTGATTTTTAAATCCCAATATCTTTGCAACCTGATGGTGTAAACCTTACATATTTAAAACTTAGATTGTATGATCTGACAGAGTTTTAAATATATAAGGTTCTTTGGGTTGCTAAGATATAGGGATTATAATTTGTGGCAAATACTCGATTTCTAACTTCTTAATGGAATATGGATGTTACAATGATGATAACTATGATGATAATAATGATGATAACAATGATGATAACAATTGAGATAACAATGATGATAACAATAATGATAAAATGATGATAACAATGATGATAACAATGATGATAACTATGAGGATAACTATGAGGATAATAATGATGATAACAATGATGATAACAATGATGATAACAATGATGATAACAATGATGATGAAAGTGATGATAACAATGGTGATAACCATGAGGATAACAGAGAGAATAACAATGATGATAACATAGCAGAGACTCTAAGAGCAGCTCGAACTTCTAAATGGAAAAGAGCAAATTTATATTATTTATGAAATTACAAGTTAACCTTCATGAATAGAGTGTAATAAAAATTTTGAAAAAAATTTTATTTTAAACTACCCTCACTACCACCGACAAGTTGAAACTTTTTTATCAATATTTATTCAATAATTTATTTTTCAATTCCCCACTACCCTCACTACCTCCGACTTTTTAAAATCTATATATCAAAATTTTTTTCAAAATTTTCTTTTTATTTTAAACTACCCTCACTACCACCAACAAGTTGAAACTTTTTTTATAAACATTTATTCAATAATTTATTTTTTCAATTCCCCACTACCCTCACTACCACCGACAAGTTGAAATTTTTTTATAAACATTTATTCAATAATTTATTTTTCAATTCCCCTTACTACCTCCGACAAGTTGAAGCTTTTTTATCAACATTTATTCAAGAATTTATTTTTCAATTTGCCACTACCCTCACTACCTCCGACTTTTTAAAATCTATACATCAACATTTTTTTCAAAATTTTTATTTTATTTTAAACTACCCTCACTACCACCGACTTGTTGAAACTTTTTTATCAACATTTATTCAATAATTTATTTTTCAATTCCCCACTACCCTTACTACCACCGACAAGTTGAAACTTTTTTAAAAACATTTATTCAAGAATTTTATTTAAATAAAAACTACCCTCACTACAACTGATTTTTCAAAATCTTAATTTCAATATTTATTATTTTTTTTTCATTTTCAAACTACCGTCACTTCCAAGACAAAAAACTTGAGCAAGTCTTAAAGAAAAAAAAGAGGCAATTTAAAGATTTTTAAAGTTGAATTTCTTGTTAAATATTTTTTTTTATCAAGATTACCATACCTATGTTAATAAAAAATTCACCTATTTTTCAGCAAAAAAAAGGCATTTTATACGTTCACGTCAAATTTCCCCCCCCCCCCCCACCCCCCAGCAGGAATAGGGTTAAAAAAGCTGGATTCATTTCTCGAGAATGACTCTGTTCTATTGTGGTTTTTGTTATATCATGATCAACTAAATATATATCCTGATCTAATAAATATCATTGTAAACTAATGACAGAAGTGCAATTTTTAGGCAAAACTCACAATTTTCCTAGATTTAAATTCTCCTTTTAATGTTAGGGATTAAAAATGTTTTAGATTAGGTTTAAAGCAAAATATTTATTAAATTAATATTATCGGTCAAATAGCAATCATAATTTAATTTTTAAAAACACTATTGATAAAAATATCACTTTATCTAAACGTTTTTGATATAAATAAAATAGAATTTAATATTTTGTGTGAAAATTAATTTAATGTATAAGTAATAGGATAGCAAAGGAATGGAGTTCTTGCCAAAAAATCTGACTTTCTAATCTCTACATCTTTGCAACCTGAACATGTAAACCTTTGATTTTTAAACTTACAGTATTTGGTCGAACAATTCATAGTTTGAAATTTCAAAGGTCTCCCACAATGGGTTGCAAAGATATATGGCATTAGAAAATTTACAAATTCGTATATTAATGTATTTTAAATATAACTGAAAATATATCTGTAAAGTCAACTTTTGTGTGAAATGACGTTATAAACAATTGCAATTACGCAATAAAACTGTGATTCCCAGTTTGTCTTGCTTGATTCTGAGATTTCCAACACAAAAGTTCCAATCTCTGAACAAAAGTTCCAATCTCTGAACAAAAGTTCCAATCTCTGAACAAAAGTTTCAATCTCTGAACAAAAGTTCCAATCTCTGAACAAAAGTTCCAATCTCTGAACTTTCGTTTTTGCTTTCAATAAGAAAACAAATAAAAGTTTATGAACACTAAAACACTTAATAAAAGTTCACATCAAGACCATTATCTATGAATAAAAAGTAATTTCTGTCTGTCTTTTAGTTTAGCTGTCCAATCATAACTCACGAACCCAGATTTTTCTGGAATTTCGATTGGGAAACTCGATAAGACCACGGGACTGTACTTGAGAGGGTTTACTTTTTTAGAGAAAATTTAGTTTCAGGCAAAGCTGGGTTTCCCAGCCAGCTACAGGGTGTCCCACGAAACATGAAAGTTGGTGAATAATTTAGAATGTCTTCTTCCATAATTACTTAAGTTGTTTAATACCAAAGATAATTATAAGAATATTTAATGGTTGTCATATTAAAATAAAATTGATTTCAAAGTAAAATATATTTTAGTAAAAGATTTTTTAACGAAAAAATGCAAAAAGTCTTTAATATCTATTACAGTATAATTGGAAGAAGACATTTAAAATTATTTACCAACTGTCATGTTTCGTGGGACACCTTCACATAGATTCAGCCTGCTTATAAAAAGTCTCATCAATTTTTAAGACAGGGTCAACTTTGAAGTGTCGGAACGCCCTAAGCTTTGATTTTATCGCTCTAACTCACTCATGATATCTCCCTAGGTCCTTAAACAGACAAAGATATGATGGGTACCATCGTGAATTCATTTCTAATCCTAAATTAGGTCAGGTTTTTTTATTGGACAGGATAATACACAATATTCTACTGACAAAATTGAACAGAACTTTAAGAATTTCATCAATTTTATCGTTAATCCGTAAAAAAACCAAATTAATGGGCACTTGCACTTTGCTCGACTGTCCCTTTAAAGCATTAAAGCTTAACCCTAAACAGGCTGGGGGGGCGTTTGGCGCCCCCCTGCAGTTTTTTTGTCCTATCACTCTTATTTTGGACACTATCATCGTGGAATTTTTAATGAACAGAAATTTGAAAGGATTTTTGTAAAAAAAAAATTTTATTGTAAAGGGTTGGGTACAGGTTGGAAAACAGTCCTGTCTTTTAAAAAAAATCTAAAATAACCCACTAATTTTTTGTGACTAAAGCTGCAGATCTAAAAACTGTATTTTTGAAAAGCCCTTGAAAAATTGGGGAAACATGTATCACTCATTGATATTTGTTTAAAACAAAAAAGATATTTTTCATTTTTTGAACCCTCCCTAGCACCCAAACTATTAAAGTTATCGGTTTAATTTTTTTTTAAATGAGCTGGCCTTGAAAAATTGAGCTTTGCACATTCTTCTCAAAGGCCTTTTTCTAGTGGGGGGGGGTCGCACAAATGTCTGAAGATAATTGAAATAAAACAGACTGTATGAAGATATTTAAAATACCAAATAAAGCTAAGAGAATAAACATAAATAATAACAATGGAAGGAAAGAGGCCCTCCCCCCCCCTCCCCCTCCTGATATGGTCGAATGGTTTCACGGATTTGGGGAGAAGGAAAATATATATTTTAGTTCTCGCCTGAACATCAAACAGATCAGTAAACTATGCTTAGAGGGACGTAAGCGTAATTTCATGTGACCCTCCATGCAAAAATTACAACTTTCTATTTGACAAAAATGTCTCCAGAAATGCGCAAATAACTTTTTCAGAGAAACCACAAATGAAATTAAACTATTTTCTAAAATAAACAAATGGATATCTAATTTAAACTTGATCAGACAAACCTTTTTGTAAATTTTTGCGTGTAGGGTTGCCCTTGAAATGACGCTTATGACCGTTTATTTTAATTTTATAAAATATTATGTTTTATAAATTTTGTAGTTCTTGATATTTTTTGTAAAAAAAACATACATTCTTTTTATCTTCTCATCAACCATTTACAAAACTGATTCTTTGGTGTGTATTCTGCTTATCGAGTGATATATGCAGGGTGTCCCACGAAACATAAGGGTTGGAAAATGGTTTTGAATAATTAATATTATCCAAATATTTGTTTCTGTATTGTCTCATTGCCAGAATATGATATTCAATTAATGATTCTAAAAAGAAATAATTGATTCTAACATTGATATATTGGGAAAATTTCAATTGAGAAATATGTTCCTAAACATCTAATTAGTTTACTGTCAAATTTGTATTACATTTTTTGTCCTCGTTATTTGTAAATTTAAAAAAATCGATTCTCAAAGCGTAAAACCATCCACGAAGATGATTTTGAACACCATTGATATTAAAAAGTTTTATATGTCTCAAATGAAACCTAAAAATTTAATTTTTCCTCAATACTACATTCTCGTTTCAACTACCATACATTGCCGGTCACTCCCTTTGGGGCGAAAACTTAGTTCCTTTGACTTATCATGGTGGCTAAAATAACAATGTAATTTAAGGTAAAGAACTTTCTTTTAATTGGCGCTAATCTGCATCTCTTGGTCTCAATATTCACTGTGACAACTTAACTTTTTCTTTATTTATCCCTACAGAATACAATTACCACAAAAAATTAATCTTTTACGTGAGTCTTCAAAAAAGGAGATCAATTCTCGATCCCTAAATGCATAATTCAAAAGTTTCAGAGAAATATGTTCCATGGATTTGAAGATTATTGGCTTCCCCCCGACCAACCCGAGAATGATCAAACAAGAAAACCTTCTTTTTCAAGTCTCAACCTTTCTCCCGACTGGCCTTATTCAGGCCAATCACTGTACACAGAATCAGACAGAAGTCCTGGAAATGAAGCCGAGAGTTTAAATCTGAAATCTGAAATTATGGTATTCACACAAGATCTGAAGCCTCACAAATTAAGGAAACATATTCAAAAATATCTTTTCAGGGACTTGTCAGGTCGGCGTGATTGTATGTAATCCATAGATTAATAACAATACAGATAGAATACTAGATGTCGTCTTTTACCCTAAGGCAGAATCCCAAATGAGTTACGTGCATATGCCCTCTCTCTGTCATTCAGCAGAGGATGCGCGTGACTACTTTGGGCTTCTGCCTCAGGGTTTTTGAGTACGAAAAACCCCTAAATCTTGAATAGACGACATTTAGTGTTCTGTCTGTTTTGTTTTTAATCTCTGATGTAATAATTTAATTAAAAAAACACATCTCAAAATAATTGTTCTCTTTGTATCTTTTTTCTGAAAGGGAGTGTTCGCGAAAAATTAAAGGGGGTATAAGTAGAAAAAAAAATTCTATCTTGGTTGCTTCTAATCTTACTTTCATTTGTTGCGTCTATAAGGAGAAAATTGTTAAAAACTACTCATACCGAAGAAAGTAGTGTCCAGACAAATTCAGAAAGTTGCAGCATACGCCTTGGATCTCAAAAAAAATCTTTTTTATTTAAAACAAATCATTCTCATATGTTACAGTTCCTTTTATTAATAATGTTTACCATAATTTTAATAGACCAAACTAAGATGATACACAGTAATTGGTGTAGTGTACATTAACCAATTCTACTTGATTTATAAAACTATCAACATCAACAGTGTAGTGTACATTAACCAATTCTACTTGATTTATAAAACTATCAACATCAACATTAAATACATTTAATAATACCCACAAAGGAAAAGACTGTAAGGATTCTGGAAACTCGTAAACGATCCCACGGTTAAATTATGTCCTTTGCCTTAGATAAAGTAACCTAATGGCTTACTTAATGACAACGCTAAGAAATAACCAAGTTCATAGTTGCAGGGAATCATGAATATAAGGAAACAGACAGTATAAATTCCGTACAGTCGTCACTGAAGTCTTATTCCTTCGTGAGTAACTCTGTTTATAGCATTGCTCCACTGTCATTTTCCTCAGTTGCTATGATTAATTATAGATCTCGTAAACTGCTTATGGCATTGATGCCAAAATAGAAAATCCTGAGTGGTAAATATACGTAAAAGTAGGTTAAAAGACAAACAATAATTAGATTTTTTCTATTTAATCCTGTTTTTTATTCACACTAGGTTTTTAGGGCGCTTCGCGCTCATCTTCGTTTTCAACTTTTAATTGTGGCTTTATCTATGAGCATTTTCTCTTTGTATAGCATAAAATTTTTTTTAAAAATGCGGATTTCATAATATTTTTTTTGCCCATTTTCAAAATTTTGCTAAATTAAATACTTAAAAAAAAGGTATTTTAAGATTACATATTTAAAGTTGTTTGGCCATAAACCTTCCCTGGGGCCACGTGAGGTCCCAAACAAATTTAGGCCTGATCGGTTTAGCCGTTTTGACGTTTATTGGACACAAATACCCTAACAGACACCCAGATCATGTCAAATTGAGGTCACAGCTTTTTTAAAATCTTTATCATCCGTCTCGAAAAAAAACTTTGGTATTTTTCAGAAAAAAATCATGAAATTTCGGAGACACTCCCTTTTCTGTTTTAATTTGAACAAACGCTGAAGTTTCTTGGTTTCCGGTCTAAACAATAAAGATGGTTTTAAGACAATGCACGCAACTTGTTAAAGTGTGAGATATATTCATTCATAATGCAGCACAGTGATTTAGACAGAAATTTATGCAATATTACTGGTACGGCTTTGTGACATTGTAGCTCCTTTAGTTTTGATTTCATGTACAACTACAGTACAGTTCAGTACAGTACAGTACAGTACAGTACAGTACAGTACAGTACAGTACAGTACAGTACAGTACAGTACAGTACAGTACAGTACAGTACAGGGTAACAGCGATTGTCTTTTTTTCTTTGCTATCGGTATAATCGCTAGGTAGAACTTTTTCCAGCGTCATTTTTTCATTTTTTTCTTTTTGCAATATTTGATATTTACAATATGTCATTTTTGCAAAATATCATTTTTGCAATATGTCATTTTTGCAAAATATAATTTTTGCAATAAGTCATTCTTGCAAAACGTCATTTTTTGCAAAATGTCATTTTTACAATACTTAAATTTTTGCTGTAAGACCATTATCTTTAAAAAAAAAATTGTCCTTGCCGCAACGTTCAGCTCCCCCTAGTCCTTGCCTGTTTTCAATGACAGAAACACTAATGCAGTACTTTTAACAATTGTACGCCAATTTTAGCTTTTATCGTGAAACTTAATTTTTTCCTATGGTCATATTACAAAAATAATATAAAATTTTTCTAAAAAGAGATAAAGGTTTAATAAGATTAGAATGTTTCAGAATGGAGGCTATATAAAACTAAGTTTACAATACCCGTAATTCTCTAAATGGAGAATTACTTGTAATTACACTTACAGTCCCTTTAACTTCTAGATAGAACACCTAAAATTTAGAATTTCTTATTTTATTGACACAATTTTCAACTAATCTGAATATTTATAGATTCAACATGAACTGATCAGAATTAACAAGCCATATGAACGACTTTAATTCCATATTGATCAGGTCAAAATTCTAGAATGCCGATGTGAATCAATCTTATTATAGAGGGACACTAATAAATGAAGACGACAATCCCATAAAGGGTTAAAAAATCCAATTTCCGTATTGTATTTCTGTTTTTAAAGCAAATCACTAAAATATATAATATGTTTGAAATGATAGAAAAAGTCCAGAAGAGCATAACTGTACAGTTTGTAGGAACTGGCAGGTAAGGTATATTTAGCTGTTTTAAATAGTGATGATGGACATCGCGTTTTTATCCTCATTTCAATATGGGGGTACGGGGCTTTCAAGAGGGGTTTCCCCGTGTGCGAAAGAGAATAGACTCAATTCCTTTCAGGTATATTTTCATCCTTGAGAAATAATGAGCAGAAAAAATTAAGGGTTTCAACTTCTTTAATATCTTTCGGACAGATTATTTATTTTCAATTTCTACCGATCATTTCCTCGGGTCATGAAAGATACTGAAAAAAATGGCTGTATTCTGTTTAGCCGTTTTTCACGTATATTTGATGTAAATAACAACTTAGAATAAACGAGATCAACTGCAGAGTAAAGACGATGAACTGCAGAGTAAAGAAGTTGAACTGCAGGATAAAGAAGATAAACTGCAGGATGAAGAAGATGAACAACAGAGTAAAGACGATGAACTGCAGAGTAAAGATGATGAACTGCAGAGTAAAGACGATGAACTGCAGAGTAAAGACAATGAACTGCAGAGTAAAGAAGTTGAACTGCAGGATAAAGAAGATGAACAACAGTGTAAAGACGATGAACTGCAGAGTAAAGACGATGAACTGCAGAGTAAAGACGATGAACTGAAGAGTAAAGATAATGAACTTCAGAGTAAAGACGATGTAATGCAGAGTAAAGAAGTTGAACTGCAGGATAAACACGATGAACTGCAGAGTAAAGACGATGAACTTCAGAGTAAAGATGATGAACTGCAGAGTAAAGACGATGAACTGCAGAGTAAAGACAATGAACTGCAGGGTAAAGATGATGAACTGCAGAGTAAAGACGATGAACTGAAGAGTAAAGACGATGAACTGCAGAGAAAAGACAATGAACTTCAAAGTAAAGATGATGAACTGCAGAGTAAAGACGATGAACTACAGAGTAAAGACGATGAGCAGCAAAGCAAAGACGATGAACTGCAGAGTAAATATGATGAACTGCAGAGTGAAGACGATGAACTGCAGAGTAAAGAAGTTAAACTGAAGAATAAAGAAGATGAATTGCAGAGTAAAGAAGATGAACTGCAGAGTAAAGAAGCTAAACTGCAGAGTAAAGAGGATGAACTGCAGAGTAAAGAAGATGAACTGCAGAGTAAAGAAGTTAAACTGCAGAATAAAGAGGATGAACTGCAGAGTAAAGACGATGAACTGCAGAGTAAAGAAGTTAAACTACAGAGTAAAGACGATGAACTGAAGAGTAAAGATGATAAACTGCAGAGTAAAGAAGATGAACTGCAGAGTAAAGATGATGAACTGCAGAGTAAAGACGTTGAAATGCAGAGTAAAAAAGTTGAACTGCAGATTAAAGAAGTTGAACTGCAGATTAAAGAAGATGAACTGAAAAGTAAAGAAGATAAACTTCAGAGTAAGGAAGATGAACTGAAGAGTAAAGAAGATGAACTGCAGAGTAAAGAAGATGAACTGCAGAGTAAAGAAGATAAACTGCAGAATAAAGCAGATGAACTGAAGAGTAAAGAAGATGAACTGCAGAGTAAAGAAGATAAACTGCAGAGTAAAGAAGATGAACTGCAGTGTAAAGAAGATGAACTGCAGAGTAAAGAAGATGAACTGCAGAGTAAAGAAGATAAACTTCAGAGTAAAGAAGACGTACTGCAGAGTAAAGAAGATGAACTGCAGTGTAAAGAAGATGAACTGCAGAGTAAAGAAGATGAACTGCAGAGTAAAGAAGATAAATTAAAGATCCAAGAAGAAGAATGTTTGACCCAATTAAATGATATAAAGAACCAGAAAGATGAATTTGCCAGGTTTAAGATTGAGTTTACATCTCTAGAAGAGGAATTAAGATCTGAAAGAAGAGAATCCTTTTCAATGATGGAAGAATTGAAACGATCTCGAGAAGAAATATTTTTTTTGAAGAAACAGAATAAGGAGATTGAGGTGAGCTAGAAAAAACTTAAAGATAACATTTTTAAATTTGATTTGAAGTCCAGAAGAATTTTTGATTATTTGACAGTTTTATAAAAATCGGGATAAAATTTAGACAAATTATTCTAATAAATTTTTAACAGTTAATAACAGTTTTATTTTATGGCCCCGCCCCACACACTGATTCAAAGGGTACAAGCTCTCAAGCAAAAATCAATAACAGTTTTGTGCTGAAGAAAAATACTAAAATCCCGTGTAGAGCAATTGTTGTGTATTTTCTCATAAGCTAATTTTTTTGAAACACTTGCAACGCTTTAAGATCTATTCATTCTTAAACATTATTAAACTTTTTATAGTAGCCTGGGTCTTTAAGCAATATCTCATGAAGACTGTATTATGTTTAGGACATGATTAATTTAACCCCTGAGTGTCCTCCTCCTCCTCCACCACCACCACCTCCAACCAACTTCTTCTCCAATCTCAAATCCCAGATTAGAAGGAAAGCAAAAAGAGCTAAATCAGTTCCAAATGATATTCACCATTCAGTTGATAGCAGAGGTAAACAAAAACATATTAGAAAAATCAAAATTATGATTTAGAACTACGAAATGCTTTTATTTGATATTACAAAAAAAATGTTAGGGTTTCTTTTAAAAGCATATTCATAATTAAACTATTATAAGATTATTATTATTATTATATCTGAGAAAATAACCTACAACTACAAAATCTTGTACACAGCAATTAAAACTAGGATTTTAAATTGGAATTCCGTTGGGCAGAATTTCACACAACTGTTCAGAAATGCGCGTAACTATACCTTTGTATTGCGCAGAATAGTGCGAAATTTTGCAATACACCTGTAATAAATATCGCGTATTACAATATTTGTAAACCTGAATTACGTTGTACATTATTACTTACCTACATTTGGAAACCTCTACAAAACCCATTATTTATTTAAACTCCGCTTCAAATAAATAGGTAGCATGATCTTAATTGCGTATATTTCTAACTGTGCTGTAAATAGGTAACATGATTATCTTAATCATGTGATATGGATAACTCCTTAGAGAAATTGTAATTTCGTTTTAACTTTAACTTGTAACGTAGAAACCTCAAATACATTAGTTAATATAGAGACTCCGCTTTGATTTCTGTGATAGAGTAATCATGTCCTTGTTCCTAAACGAATGAGTACCCGTTGGTGAGGCATTAATAGTTACGTGCTTCTGTCTCTGTAGACATTGATAGCTGATCATGCCCATTGGCTTGGCGTTGATCGATTAAGAGCTCATGTTCTAGTTGAAATTGATAGCTAAGCTAGTGTCCATACTGACATCGATAGCTGACAATATCGTATCTGGGTTTAACCATTGATAGCTTAGTGAAACTGAACTGTACCTGGATAGATACGGGTTCAAGAAACCGTTATGGAGTAGGGTATTTACCTACTCTTAAAATTAAGTATACTTTTAAATACACTGTAATATTTAGGTTCCTGTATGGTACTAAATGAGGGTGTACTGGATGCGATCAAAAACCGGAAATACAGTTTAAAACCAGTCGATACACAGAGTATCTGGGCTGCAGGCACTTTCTTATATTTTTAAAGCCAAAACTTTAACGCAGTTAAAATTATATGGACAAATTTCAAAATACATACCAAATACAGAATACATGACCAAATACAGAATACATGACCAAATTACAAAATACATGACCAAATTATAAAGCACATGACCAAATTACAAATACATGAACAAATTACAAAATACATGACCAAATTACGAAATACATGACCAAATTTCAAATACATGACAAAATTACAAATTACATGACCAAATTACAAATACATGAACAAATTACAAAATACATGACCAAATTACGAAATACATGACCAAATTACAAATACATGACAAAATTACAAAATACATGAAAAAATTACAAAATACATGACCAAATTACAAAATACATGACCAAATTACAAATTAGATGACCAAATTACAAATACATGACCAATTACAAATTAGATGACCAAATTACAAATACATGACCAAATTACAAATACATGACCAAATTACGAAATACATTAAGTTACCAAAATAATACATAACTATGTACACTACATTATAAAATGTTCGTTTTATACAAACTCTGTGGATTTAGGTTCAGCTCAGAGAAAAAGTGGTTGGCAGCTGAACAGTCTAGATTTTGATATCTCACAGGTGGTACATTTTCCCATAGAAGTTTTTTTTTCCATCTCAACTTCAATATAAAAAATTTAAGTCTTAAAAGCGTTTTTTTGCACAAAGATACATTTATTTTGGAATAAAATCTAAAATACAGGGTGTCTCAAAAAATATGGGAATTCAGTGACGAATTCGATATCGTCTTTGTTATGAATTAGCATTGTAATACCTAATTTCAAAAGCAATAATATTATTATGTCTGCTAGAGTTTATTTTATGAAAACGGTAAAAGACTGTAAAGATGTGTCTATAATGTCTCCGCACGATGAACAGTGAAGACGGACAAGTTTACTCTGTTTGTATTCTGCAATTTTCTTGTTTTACTAAGTACAACCGTATGCAGTCAAAACATAAACAAACAAATTGTAAACATAGCAGACGAAACTCTTACAGATTACAGCTTTCTCATTAGTTATCACTATACTAAATCAAAGAATTATTTAAAAAGACGATATCGAATTCGTCACTGAATTCTCATGTTTATTGGGACACCCTGTACTTAATTTCAAGGCAATATTAATTTAAACAGTAGCATATAATGTCCAACTTAAAACGGTGCATTAAACCTTTGTCTGAAAAAAATTAAGGTATCCATGATTTTAACTTAAAAAATTGAATACTTTCCATTGTGGCTTCTCTATCTTATTTTTGGATTTATGCTAAAGAAACAATATGGAGAATATCGGCTGGAAAAATGACTTCTACATATTAAGCATAGTTAGACATAGTTTTAAAGCTACCCTTGTACAAGGTACTATTGCAAGGAAAGTTAATTGTGGTTGCGTATACTCTGCGTACATATTGAAACCAGTCCTCTGTTGGTGGAATTTGTAAACAAGAATAGATGCATCAGTGTTCGTTTAGTATTCGAGGAAGATCAAAGCATTTAATTTTGTTAATTTTGAAAATTCACATAATAATTTCTTAGGACCAGAATATTTCAAGGATTATTTTTGTGAAAATTGATTCCATGTCAGACTGTGACATCCGTCTTGTGTTTACTTTTCCGCCCAAAGACAGTACACTGCAGTACAAAAAATGCGTACACCTCTGAAATAACTTTCCTTGCATTAGTACTTTGCCTTTGTGAATCTATTATTTGATCTAACAGAATTCATCATTAGAGTATAAAGATGTCTAATGTCTACGACATTGGGGTGAAAAGATATAGGGCTTAAACAATTAGAGTTTGTGGCAAAGACTCAATACCTAAAAAGTGTATTACAGTGTTTATTTTGAATGTTTACGTTGTGGAATTTAGTGTGAACAATTTCTTCTGACTTTTTATTATTAAGTTTGATAAAAAAGAAGAAAATAAAAAACTTTATTAATTGTTTCTAGATTTTGTCACGGAGGTTGGCTATGGGATATTTTGATGATGATGATAATAAAAGTATTAAAAGTGTGAGGTGAGTACTTTAATTCATGACAAATATTAAAGCCAGTGTCCCACGAGATCAAAAAAATGAAAAAAATGTACAAAATTGTTTAAAGGGACTGTAAGCGTAATTTCAAAGGACCCTACATGCAAAGATGATAATACTCATACTCCCTTTAAAAGCAAGAAGTAGTTAAACTTGGACATTTTTACTATTTCCACACTCGACAATGTAGTAGAGAAAACAAAATAAAAATTGTTTCAATTAGCCGAGTTCAGTTACCTCTCACTATTTTATATTAATCTGATCGGAATTGGACCTTGTGAATAAATTTATATATACAAAACTTAATCTTTTAATCATATAATGTCATCCCCACAAAACTATGGAATATGAAGACGACATTAATGACTTTAATTTACATACATGTCAGTCTAGGTAGCTGGTAAATCAACTTATTTGGTGCCCAGTGTATAAACTGCACAATTCTCAATTTTATTGAACAATTTAAAATCATACCTTTATATTCCAAAGTTTTAAAGGGATCACTGTGTATATAGTTTTTTTTTTAGGTCCAACGGAACAGTACACAGTTTTGGATTGGAAACCAAAGACGACTTTTCAATGCCGCCTTTGATAATGGGATAATGGGAGTTCAGAGAAGAAGCTGCCGGGTGATCCGCAAAGATTGAGAATTAAATTTCGGCTCACCCCAAAACAAATGCGTACAGTCGTCTCTAATGTCTCTTAATTAATCTTCTTAAATTCATCCTTTTCAAAAACGATAATTTTCAAAAATGATCATTTTCAAAACAATCATTTTGTTTACAGATTTTGTTCATTATTAACAAATTGAACACTTGAAATTGCGCTTTTTCGATAAAACTTATCCCTGTTAATTTGGCTTTTTCTTCATGGAGTACTGAACACTTTCACAAACTCTAAATATCCCAATATGTGTCAGACCTTTTCTCTATATGAATATTCTGTTATATGTTTTAATTAATTAATTAATTCAAGGTTTGCACCATCAGGTTGCAAAGACATATTGGGTTTAAGGCGACTAATCAGAAGAAGCATACAATACAGAATGTAAATATGAATTTATAAATCTGAAATATATCTATTCAATTTCAGTTACATTAATAAGTAGTGTTGATAATTAAACAGAGCTGAAAACTTTAGATATCCTTAATCCCGATCTCTTAATTAATCTAAAGATTAATAACAACAGGAGAACAAGCATTATTTAATCTCAAGATTAAGAAAAAGAGTGGATCAAGCATTAATCCCGATATCCACCATTCAAAAGTTCCCAGCTCTGGAACATCGTTAGAAATTAGGATTAATATTTTTCCATCTCTTGAGTGTGATGTTTGCATTGCAGATGATGATTTTTCAACAAGAATAAACACAGTTGTCACTAAAATATAAACAAATTTAATTCCACCATGCTTTTGTAGCTTTTGCAATCATAAATAGGAATAAGATCATTATAAAAAATGTTTTAAAATTGATATCACAGGCTTAACGATGAAATTACAAGAAACTCCATTAAAGGCAAGGTAATAAGGCGTTAATTGCTGTTGCGTATTCTCGGCGTACATACTAAAAGTTTTTAACCGGTATTTGTAAACAAGAATAGATGCATCAGTGCTTCTAGTATCCAAGGAGGACGAAAGCACTTAATTTTGATAATTTACATGATAGTTTCCTATGACCAGAATATTTCATTGATTTTTCATGTGAAAGATGGATCCCATGTTATAGGCTGTGACCATAGAGAATAGAATATATATTAGAGTGGAATTTAGACAATCATTCAGTATGAATTTTTTCAGTCCCTTTCAGCCTTCATTTCATTTACAAATTATATGCAGTAGAGTACATTAATACAGTCTGTTTCCTTGACTATCCATTTCAATTTCGAATTTTTTAAACCTGTCAAAAAAACTTTATAAAATGAATTAGGTGAATAAAAACATCATTTGATTTATAGTTATAACGGAAAATCATGTCGTTTGTAAAGTGAAAGGCATAGAGACTATGTGAAATGATCATTTGGTCGATGATGAAACCAGCCTATTTCATTATTTGGTTTTCTTTTAATATTAATTTTAGATTTTTATAAAATGATGGTCTAGGGCCCAAAAGGTTATATAGCGCAAATATGTGAAGTACACCAGCAGTATAGAAACAGTACAACAAAATGGCCGTTTTACACTTTTTTCTAGTAAATTCCACTCTAATATATATTCTATTCTCTTTGGCTGGGACACTTTACTTTACAGCCCGGAGACAGTACATTGCAGAACAAAAAATACGTGCACTTCTGAAATCTTTACATTATAATTCTTTGATTAAAGGGGATATTTATAGTCTGTATATGTAGTGTGTACTGTACTGCTGTACATACTTGAAATAAACCAAAGTTTACAGTGCAATATATGCAAATTTGATGAACATCTACTTTTTCTAGAATAAATGTTGGTTTATTTTAAACAACTGTTTAAATCTACTAATGACAAAGTGAATAAAATTTTATTAATAACTAAACTATAATTCCACAAAGATTTATTTTTAAAAAATGCCCCTCAATATTTGAGAAATCGGACTAATACAGTGCATAATAACATATTTCATATGTATAAGTTATGGATAGAAAAATTCAAGTGTATGTGTAATGGAAGGACAAAATTCTAAATTATTTGTTAAACAATTCAGAACTGGGAAATAAAATGCAAACTGGATAAAACAGAATGAAAATAAATAAAATCATATACCTGTTGTCCTTGGTGTAGCATCTAAAAAAGAATAGTTTTTAAACATCAAGATATTAAATTGGATTGATTGAATTTTTGTAAAAAGTGCAGTTATAAACTTTAATTATGATTGATTATTAATTACCTAATACATTCTCTAATTGGACCAGGTGGCCGGGGCTCGTACTCGCCAGTGCTGCGTGAGTTAGGAGGATAGCCTAGTACAAAAATAAGTCAAGCATTGATAAAAAAGGAAAACAGAGAAAGTTAAACTTCAAAGACGACATTACACATTTTATTTTGTTTTATTATTTAAAGTATAGAGCTTGCAGCATTGTATTTGATTTGAGATTGATTTTAAATATCTTATCAGAGTATTTACATTATTCTCAGTCAACATCTATGTATTAATCTTGTTATATCATGTACTGTATTTTAAATATAGAAGTAGTAAATGTACTTTCAAATGAGCCACCATTTTTAGAGAGGCACGTGTAATTCACAATGGTTCCCCTGTCTTTGTCTGGTTGGAAGTATTCTTGCCTTTCTAGCTTAAAACAAAGTGTCGCAAATAGGGTTTCCAGTAGAGCTGGGCACGCGCATATAGGGTTTCCAGTAGAGCTGTTAACGTTCCAACTTTTTCTAACCGTTTCGTTAACGGTTAGTTTAAACTGTTAAAAAAGAAAATTTTCAGATAGCCGTTAATTTTACAAGTAAGAACGGAACGCTCGTTGTGTTAACGGCAATTACCGTTAGTAAAAGATTTAATTTATTATGCATAATATCAGAAATAAAAAAATCTTCATGATAAAATAATAAAATGATAATCCAAATATTTTAAATAAAACACTTCCCTTTCAGCTAAAAAAGTGGGGAAATCTCCTTTGTCTTTGATGAGACAGTGGACATGCCTCTCTAAAAATGGAGGAACACTTGAAATTACGTTCACAGTTCCTTCAACCTCTAGGTTGTTGGGCTGGCACCATTGAGAATTGGAGGATCAAGAGACACATTATCAGCATTAAACAGAACTTCATTCTTTCTATCTATAAATAGGAGGATTAGAGTCAATGTCGTCTTCTTTATCTAGCAAGACATCCACAGACAATAATCCTATAATTCCGAGACAAATGTATTTCTAAATAGGGCTGCGCAGTGCAATTCCAATGTCTGGTATAAAATGTCAATTTCTAGTATACGTCAATGCCTTGTAAATAATTGTCAATGTCCATTGTAAAATTTCAATGTCTATTATACAATGAAAATGTCTGGTATACAATGCCAATGTCTAGTATACAATGTATATGTCTAGTATACAATGAAAATGTCTAGTATACAATGAAAATGTCTATTATATGATGAAAATGTCTAGTATACAATGAAAATGTCTAATATGCAATGAAAATGTCTAGTATACAATGAAAATGTCTAGTATGCAATGAAAATGTCTAGTATACAATGAAAATGTCTACCTAGTATACAATGTCAATGTTTAGTATGCACTGTCAATGTATAGTATACAATTTCGATGTCTGGTTAAAACAATGACTAGAATATAATATCAATGTCTGGTAAATACAGTGTCTAGGTATACAGGTTCCAGCTTAAACTGCTAGAGATATATATATTCATACTACAAATGAGAAACTAAAAGTTTTAAAACAAAGCTGTAAAAAAGCAACATTTTTTTAATCAAGAAAATGCTTAAAATTTGATACTCGAACATTTCTTTTGATGATATAAACATACATACCCGGACCAAAAAAAACTTTTTTTTCATTTCTCCCCTCCCCATAAAGCACCAGCGGTGTGAGCCTCTCCCCCCCCCCCCTCCTTGGCGCACCCAAAAATGAAAGCTTAACTGGAACATTTTCTGGTTTACGAAATGTAAACTGGACATTTTCTGGTTTACGAAATGTAAACTGGACATTTTCTGGTTTACGAAATGTAATCTGGACATTTTCTGGTTTACGAAATGTAAACTGGACATTTTCTGGTTTACGAAATGTAAACTGGACATTTTCTGGCTTACGGAATGGAGACTGGATTTTTTCCCCGGTTTTCGAAAGGAAACTGGAGAATTTCCAGTTTACGGAGTTGATGAAAACCGGAGAATTTCCAGTTTCCATTTTGTCCAGAATTATCCTGGAATTACGGAAAAATTTTCCGGATTATTTTATTTTCAAAATGAAAATATTTTTTTCTGAATAATGGAAACCTGAATAGAAATGAATATTTTCAGGATGGTGTTGACTTCAAATTGTACATGACTATCTCTCACTGTAAAGGAATTGAGTCTTTGTCACAAACTATGATTTTCTAATCTCTATATCTTTGTAACCCAAAGCCGTAGACCCTAGATATTTCAAACTATGAATTCTGTTTGAAATATCAAAGGTTCACACCATCAGGTGGAAAAAATATTAGAAAATCAGAGTTTGTTACAAAGACTTTCAATTCCTTTACGCAAAGCAACGATAAAGCTAAATATATATATAAATATGTAACAAAAAGGGGCAAACATGTTATTCTGCAAAATTGCAGTACGTTGAACGTCAGAAATCAGATTATTCATTACAACTGCATTTCAATCGAATATTGACATGATTAGCTCATCATCATGCGACATACTTAAAGTAGGCTATAGATAATGGACAGAGATATATTAACTGGGTTATATCTATTCTCTTTTATCCTTTAAATACATAATACGCTGGTCTTAATCATATAAAATATCAATACATGGTAGGAATTGAATTACGCCAACTCCTAATAACGTTTTAATCTAAGCTACTGAATAAAGTTAGTTGAATGAGACTCTGCTTTTGATCACGTTATCAGAAGTCTAAGTAAGCTTGATAGAAAGCTTTGGTACTCGTTGAATTGTACAAGTCACCAATTTCATTGGACTGTGTGTCATTTTGAACTTGGGAGTTAACCCTGCAGGTTGAGATTTGGACTGTGTGTCCTTAAAGGAACTGTAAAGGAAAAATGAAATGATTTTCTAAATTTTACATATATGAACTTTCGTATAATTGCAACACAGTTTTAAATCAATTTCTCAAGACAGGAACATCAGATAAAACTTTCATGGGTCGGGATCAAGAGCTAAATTGATTAGCTTTCAGCCTATATCCCCTTTCATTTGTCCTTTACAGTCCCTTTAAGAACCAGGGAGTTAAACCTGTCTCTAGTGAGTATCTGGGGTCTAAAATGAAAAGCTTACAGTCTCCAATGAAAATCTAGGGACCTCCGATGGCATTCTCCAATTGTACTTTTGTCCAGGCTCATTTCAAAGTGTTGTTTATATTATATTCACATAGAACTTATATGCATGCATATGGAGAAACCACAATTTATCAATTTTTAGATAGAAAAATAATCATATCTTTGTAATTTGTATTTAGATTATAGGTTTACAGGTCGCCGTTTTAAATAGTTAATTAGTAAGGTCACTTGATACATGAAACACTGTATGAGACTTCAGAGACGTCCTTACGCAAATATTTACTGTCTATTGCCATTTCCTTCTTTTCCAAATCATTTAAAGGGAGTGTTCGCGAAAAATAAAAGGGGGTTTAGGTTTAAGAAGAAAAAAAAACACTTTTACACTTTTTATTGCAACTAATATTACTTCTCTCTGTTGCGTCCTTAAGGAAAAAATTGTTAAAAACGGCTCACACCATACAAATTCGGAAAGTTACAATATTCAACCCAGATCGTAAAATAATCAATTTAACTCCAAACAAATCATTCAGCTATTACAAACAATAGTCATCGATTATTTTTCGACTTATTCGTATATAGTTAAAATTTCATAATATTTTTATTTTTATTTTTCGAACATTCAAGGAAAGTATGAAAATGTCGTCTTAATCTTAAAAAATCCTCGAAACAGGAATAAATGTTTTCAAAAGTAAGGCTCAGATCATGAAAAATAAAAAAAAATTATGAAATATCAACTTTGTACATAAGAGTCGAAAAATAATCGATGACTACTGTTTGTAATATCTAAATGATTTGTTTGGAATTAATGGATTGTTTACGATCCGAGTTTAATGTTGCAACTTTCTGAATTTGTATGGACACTACGTTCTTCGATGTGAGTCGTTCTTAACAATTTTCTCCTTACAGAAGCAACAGATAGAAGTAAGATTAGTAGCAATCTAAAGCGCTTATTTTTTATACCCCCTTTCATTTTTCGCGAACACTCCCTTTAATAAGCCATTAATAAACAAAATACATGTGTAAGGCAGAAGACTTTATTTAACATTGAGTTCTTGTGTCATCCATTATGGGTAACCCTGAAATACGTTATATTTATAAAGGGAAAAATAAAAATAAATACTAATCACGCAACCTCTTTCGGTATATTCAAATAAAGGCAGGAGAACTTATCTCCTTAATAAATAATTTTCCGGGGAAAAAAGGTTATTTGACCTTCTTGAAAACTGAGAAAATTAAAACCTAAAACTACGTTTAACATTTTCGCATTTATTATTTGCAAAATGCAGAAACTGTGTTTATGTTGAGCTGTTACTTATATTTTAGTAAGGTGAACATATGTTCAGTTTAAATATTACGCGGGGTTTCAATTAGTAAATTTATGATAATTTTGCATGACCCATGTGGAGTCTTGTAGATGTAGGGTCTAGCGTAGAGCTACAAAACTAATTAATAAGCCCCCTGGCCCCTCTTATCTTCTACCTATGCTATGGATCAATAAAAACAAAGCATTCTTAATCTGAGACCGAATTTGAAGAATTTGAGCTGCATCGCTGAACAATTTGCTACCTGATCAAATTTGAACCAAAGATTCACAGTTTAAGATTAAGGAAGGATTTGAATCTTCGGTGGTTCAAATTTGAACCGATGGAAGGCAGTTCAGCAAGGTCGAGACCTGGCTCAAATTCTTTAAATTCGATCTCTGTTAACGTATTTATTGCATTTTATAAATCTGATTGAAGATATGGTCAAATATTATGATAATCACTATTGATCCACTACTACAGTATTGTTGTTTTCATCAGTTAATGGTGTATTCTTTTGTATCTACCAACCCCCACGCTTCACCAAACCCTTCCCCCTTTAAATAACCCCCCTCTCTTTAACCTTCTCCTCTTTCTCCCCATCCCTTCTCCCCCTCTCTTTTCTCCCTTTTCTCTCCCATCTCCCATTTCTATCACCGAATACACCCCATCTGAACTTCAGTTGACATCCGGTGTTACCAGAGTTAACAGCTCTTCTCCCTGGTGGAACTATAGATAGATAGATATATAAATAGATAGATGGATAGACTAACGGTTAGAGAATTGAACAAGTGAATTTTAAGCTACATGAGAAAATGTTAAACTAATCAGACAGCTGGAGATACAGAAATAGGTATTTTAAGACAAATATTTACATAAGATGTTATTATCTATATTTAAATAAAAATTATTATTTTAAATTTTACATGATTTCGTAAGTTACGTTTTCCTTTTGTTCTGTAGAGCCATCTCTAAGCATACACTGATAGAGATCACTGGTCAAGCGTATGTTTTTAAAATAAGTTAAATTGTACAAAAAAAAATATCATTTCAGGGTTCTCCCATGTACCTTAGGTAAACGATTATTGAGGAGAACGAATTATTTGGTGTAAAGCCTAACAAAATAATTGAATAACTTTGTTTTGCCCCTGTATCACCATATGAATACTCATAATATTCCCGTATTTCCATCCACATTTTGGACAATTGCTCTTAAAACACCATTTAGAGGTCTAAACTGAAAAAATAAAAATAGGGTCGGATTTCACAGGTCATGGAATTTATATTATTTTATTCAAAGTTCGAAAAATTAATAGAAATCATGAACAAAAATCATGCATTCCTTTATAAAAAGCTGTTTTTTTGGTATGCAACAATTTTCATTTAATCCCGCCCCTTTTAAAAATAATAAAAAATAATAAAAATAATTTGTTATTTTTTACAGTTACAAATTAATGTCATTTACTCTCAGACAAATTAGAATGTAAATGATACATTGAAAATTTTATCTCGAGCCGAAAACGAATAAAAATGATCAATGATCAGGATCGAAACATACGAGCCTCAGTGCAGAATCCGACTCTCTGTTTTATATTTTTTTTAGATAGATAGACAGATAGATAGATAGATAGATAGACAGATAGATGGATTGATTGATAGTTGATAGATAGATAAATAGATAGATCCGGTTTGGCTATATTATCAAAATAATCTTTTCCCAATTTAATTTCACAGGNTTCCTCATCAGCTTTCAGCATTACATCCTCAGATCATTGTTTTAGGGTTTAATGTTCATGCTAAAATTCATAATTTGGATAATCATCGCGCTAGGGTAACCTAGACACTGCGATCTAGACAGAGAGAGAAAGGTCAAAATTATGCAACATTACTGGTACAACTTTATGACCTCACAGCTCCTCTAATTTTAATCAGAAATACTTTAATCTACGTGAGATATAATCATGCCCCCGATTATTTAGGGTCGGTTATACCTTATAAGTATCAGTCACAACCAATTAAATAAAGCGTAATGGACTATTGATATAATTGGATAGTGTAACCTTAATACAGCATGTTCAATCTTTTGAAATCGACTCAAGAGGATATATCTCACCATCAAATAAAGCAAATCTAAAGAAACTGCATACGTTCTTCAAACCCAGTGTTCGTTTTAAAGCAATGTGCGAAAATCTATCAAGCCTTGCAGTTTTGTCATCATACCACATTTTTAGAAAACGAAAAACACTAGACTGGGCCCTAGAGACTCCATTTCTGAAAACCACCTCTGGCAAACCCTGTCAGTCATAAAATGCGATATCCAGAGAAAAGATTATTAGTATTAAATTGTAAACTTTTATATTGTTTAATGTAATTTTGCTTTAGACTAATATAAATTGTACGTAATATTGAAACTTGTATGCTTTCAAGTGTCAATCCTAACTCCTCTGATTGAAGAGCTAATTAAGATTTGTTTTAAAATCTAAAATTTAATTGGATAAATATGTTTTCTTGTACTTGTGTATAAGATAGCTACGAGGTCAAATCAGTAATGTCGCGTAATTTGTACCTTCGCTTTTTGTCTAGTTCATAGTACAGTAGAGAAGACTTCTAAATAACTTAAGAGAAGAGGGGGTGTGGGTGTGGTAAATTCTAATTTTGTAAACGTGTCAATTTAGATATGAATCTGAAATATTCTAGTTTCCTGATTTGTTTATATTTTTCTGACGCTGAAGCTCTCTTCCCTATCTGTAACGTGAAGAACGTCAAGATTTTGAATTCTGGCAAAATATCAAAATTATTCATTTTCAGTGTAGGACTTTGTTAATGAATGAAATAATGAATAAATTGTTAGAAACAATAAATAAGCTTTTAATAAAATAAAATACGATTTAAAGGATAAGTTTTAAAAAAACAAGTGCGAACATTTAAAAACAAATCACAAACTTTTCTGTTTAATTTTTATCGAGAAAATTTTAAAACCCCCTCTCTATATGCTAAAATTACTTTTACATACACGATGAATGTCGCACTTTTCTAACATTAAGTTCAAGCGTAATCCTGTTAACAAAATAAATAAAAATTCTAATGAATGAAAGACAATTTTGTTCAAAGGATTATTTTAAAATATGAAAACTGGATTATATAAAATGAATATATTCGTGTAGAATGGCGGGGNTCTCTCCTACAATTAATATATCCGCCAGTTATTTGTACAGCTTCCCTGATCCCTATCAAAAAGTAAATATTAGCAAAGTAACTTGTCAACCCGGAGCACACAAATTGTAAACATAAACTCATAGATAAACAAATAACAGATTTTTTATGATTATGTATGTCTTGATGTTAATTAAACAGCGTTTTCACCCAAAACAGATACATATTTTAATGTCAAAGAAACGGCATGTGCATTTTTTATGCACAGTACAGTACATAAGATTAGATAATAAAGACCTATTTTGAACAAAAATCTAAAGTAATTAAGTCTTTCTCCCTAACTCTGTTTTTTAGTTTCTATATCTTTGAAAACCAATATGGTAGACCTTAGATATTTCAAACTATAATTAGTTCAAAGGTTCTCAACTTTACACCTTCAGGTTGCAAAGATATAAGGATTAAAACATTTGAGTTTGTGGCAAATATTTAATTGTTTTCATTTGAAAAAATCTGCTGATATATTTATCTATGCTGAACAACTGCATGTTGTTGATTTTTGTAAAATAAAATATCATGAACTGAATCAAAATTAAAAATTTAAAAGACCGTTCACATAATTCTTGAAAGGAAACTTAACGATTTTATTTTCCAGGTTGCAAACCCGTATTTTCAATATAAACCTTTACTCTAGTAGGGATTTGGGAAGGCAAACAGGCCTTAAATTTCTATTTATTTATTATTATAATTTTAAATTTTTTAAACAATAATCAATACCTATCATCTATCAACGATTGAAAAAAATGTTTTTTTGAACCGGCAAAAAAAATTTTTCAATGAAGTGCAGACCAAATATTTTCTTGGTGGAGTGAAAATCGCACATTTTTTACAGAAGAATTACTTTAAAATGCTTAGACAGTCTCTTATTATGGCCATCTGCCCTTCTTTGAAGCAAGGATTATTGAGAAATTTTTACATTTTTGCTCAACATCAAACTTGACATTTTGCATAAAAATGATGTTCAAGTATCTATTAAAAGCACTGTTTTTAATCGACGCAGAAAAAATCCCATAAAGTACATTAATGGGGAGGGAGGGGGGAGGGGAAGGAAAAAAGAAAGAGTTCATTAGGTGAAGGGAAAAGTGATGTGTGAAAAATGTCTGTTAAGGAGGAGGGTGGGTGAAAAGTGTTTATTATTGGGGGGAGGGGTGAAAAGTGTGTATTAGAGAGGAGAGGGGGGGAGGTAAAAAGTGTGTATAAGGGGGGAAGGGGTGAAAAGTGTGTATTAGAGAGTGAGGGGCGGGATGAAAAGTGTGTATTGCGCAGAGTGGGGGGAGTGTCTATGGGGGGAGGGTAAAAAAGTGTATAAAGGTAGGGTTGTGTGTTAAAAGTGTGTTTTAGTGACGGGGGTTGGGGTTGGGGGAGGGGGGGGTCTGTGTGATTTTAGAGATAAAGAGCGCATTGAAGGTAGTTTGAGAGAAACAGCAAGCAGTCTCCGTCAGTCCGACCTATGAACATGAGGTTCAATGCTTTCATTTATCATACACAGAATACACCTAAATATGGAACACATTCTAAATAAATAACAGTCTTAATCACAATAATTTACAAAACAATACTTATCTTACTTTGCAGTGATATGAAACATTTTTTTATATGGACAGAACAGGTTAAATACTCACACTCTGTAGACAAAATAGTCACATTTGTTATGAATATTTTTTTTGGCTTTTAAATGGACGTACTCAGTTTTAAAATTTATGCAGTAAAGTAATATCTGTTGGGGTGTTTTTCGTTTGTTATCATATCCAATCATCTCATAAACCCACTTGACCAATTTGCCTCAAATTTTGATTGGGGAACTCGAGTTCGGAATGTTTTTAGTTTGGTTCAAAATTTCTGAACAGAATAGGTTGGCTTTTTGAGAGAACAACTTTTCTTCATTGTATTGATATAAACGAAAACGAATTATATAAATAAAAATATTCTTAAGTACGACTTTGTCACGTTATAATACCTGAAGTTTTATTTAATAAAACATACTTTTTTTACTCTGTATCATTACTTCCAACAGTTTCCGCTGATCAATCAGAAATGTTGGTTTTATATCAAACTATTTGATGTTTTTATATTGACACTTTGGGCTTAGAAAAACTGGAATAGATGATAAATTGATAATTAACAACATCTTATGACTTTTTAATAAAGACTAAAAACTTAAAACTGACATTATTGATATTTTATGATGGCTATAAATAAACCTATTAAGAATGCCGCCTCATAGAAATTAAAATGTTTTCTAAATTCGTATTTGTTTGTTAACAACCTCTTAAATGTTTGTATGTTATTTTTCTTTTTACCACCATTGTCATTGAATGATCTTTGGAATAGAACAGAATTCGTAGTAATGTTCAAATATCTATAGAAATTTAAATATTAGAATATAGAATAATGAAATTAAAGTTATTATTTAAAACTATCCAAAATAAATGTTAGGTACAGAAAATTATATAATAACAAAGTTAGTAAGTTTAAAACTGTTTAAACTTTTAATCGTGGCTTTATCTGTTCTTCTCTGTATAATTTTTTTTAATTTGCGGATTTCATAATAATTTTTCGCGCATTTTCAAAATGTTACTAAATTAAATAATTTAAGATAAACATATTTTAAGATTACATATTTAAAGTCTGATTGGCCAAAAACCTTCCCTGGGGCCACGTGAGGTTCCAAACAAAATTTTGGTCCAATCGGTTCAGCCGTTTTGACGTTTATTGGATACAAACAAACACCCGCCCACCCAGACATACACGCTGAATTTATACATAGATTAGTATAAATAAAAATGTTTAAAATTAAATTAAACTATAGAATATGAAGACGAATAGAATTAAATCAAAGTTTCAAAGTTTAAAACTGTTAAAAAGTAAAAAAAGTTTATTGCTTGATTACTCCTTTACGGTTCTCTGAATCCCGACATTTACCCACTGGTGTCTCCTAGAAAAGATCAAATTTCGTGTAAGGGGTCAAAAGGTTTTGAAAAATAAAACAAAATGTTAAAAATAGAGACGCAGACTGTACAGGACACTCACTACAAGCTAGATTTACACTTTAAAAATGATGTAAAAACGGATTTTTGAAATTTTCGTTTTCACGCTTTCTAGGTTTTCACAAATGTAGAGAATTGTAAAAAGGCTTAAATTTAAACATGAATATTGAGATAATTTTTTGGGGGGATAGTCTTTTAAATACTTCTACGAAATGCTGTAGGCAAAAACAGCCATATTTCAGGGGCAAAACGAAATTCAAACTTCTAAATACTTTTTGCCTAGGTTAATTTTCAGGATGAGCTGATACAATTAATGTTAATGAAAATTAAAAATCAAATCATTTTGAGAAAAAATAAAACGTTCTTTTACAAGAACTGCAGGGCATTACTCTATTTGCAGATTGTTAAAAAGAAGCTGAATTTATAGATTTTTTAATATGATAATACTAATAATAAGCATAGTGATAATACTGACAATACTGATAATTCTAAAAATAAGGATTACAAAGATAATAATAATAATTTTGATGATAATGCTAATGATGATAATACTGATTATAATGATAAAAATGACAATAATTTTATATTTATGATAATGATAACACTGATAATAATGGTGCTTTGTACAGGTAGGAGAAGTTGAAGGGAGACCAAAATGACGAATTTAAGTAAACGCGAGAGTGCCGAAATACAAGACGACAGACCGCCAAGCCAAAACAGCTTTACATCTGATAGCTGTGCCATTGACAGCTTTGCTGACAGTCAGGTTGACAGCTGCACTGACAGCTGTAAGCTGGACAGCTATGAACATAATATCGTTGATGAAATCTGTCTGAAAACAGTCCAGGTATAAAAATGAAGAAAAATCAAAATTTAGAATATGTAAAATTAATAAACAATTACTATATCTACATTATAAATTTTTTAATCTCTGTTTTAGATTTCTGATAAAGTCCAAGTAGCAGATGATGCTGAGAAGGATGCCAGTAATGCTACCACTGTAAAGAATGACGAGAATGAAGAGAGTGAAGAGAAGCTGGAGATTACTGCTGAAAACAAGAAAACAGGATTAAATAAAAGAACAGAACCTATTCGACCTCCTAGAACCAAGGATTTTATTCCTTTTCCGTCACATTCAAGTACAGGTGATCAGAAAACAGAGTTATACACTTTAAAGCAGCGCATAGGATTCATTTAATTTTGAGGCGGATCCGGATCCTGGATCCGCACTGGAAAAAAATGGATCCGGATCTAGGTCATTTCTTTACTGAATTTTTTTAACAAAAAATAATTTTTAAATTTTTTGTTTTATTTTTTTCGCTTATCTTTATCCTAAAACTTGATGAACCATTCAGAAATAAGGAATTTTTATAATCTCTCTTTTTTTCAAAAGTTCAGATTTGGTTTTTTTGCAGTATTTTACCCCTTGGATCCGGATCCGTTGATCCGCATATTTTTGCGGGTCCGGATCCAAAGCACTGTTTTAAAGGGAATGTTTTCGAATTTATGAAGAGGGTAATCGGGCGGTGTTTTGGGTGAAATTTCTTGGACGGAGAACTTTAAAAAATCATAAAATTTAGTTGTACAATGTTTAAACTGTTTTGAAAAGAATAAACAAATCAAAATTTAACTTTTTTGATTTTATATATTTTAGAATATTATAATTTGTGTAATCCTCCACCAGACAGTGAACCTCTTCCTACTCTACCCAGGAGGAAACCTTATATAACTAGTCCAGATCAAACACACTCCTCTTCTAGTATCATTGGACAATCCGCCAATCCTTCTTCTAGTATCATTGGACAATCCGCCAATCCTTCTTCTAGTAACATTGGTCAGCAGAATTGTGTACCAGGATCTCAAAAATCTGATGGAACACATAGAGTGCATCCTGGAACGCATAGAGGCCATGGAACAGAAAGGAATCGTGGAATACACAGGGAACGCCAAGGAACGATGAAAGAGGAATTGGGACATCATTCACTTCCCTCGTTCACCTCCACTTTAGGTATAAGATTAGGATATGTTTAATATCTTTTGTTCTTCATTTTCATAAAGGATATATATGCCACGAAAAGTATCTTTTTTTTCAATAAAATTGTTCATTTCCACAAATTTTGATATATATAAAAGTGAAAATAAACATTTAAAAGAAAAATAGTATTAAAAAGGTTTAAAGGGACTGTAAGCGTAATTTCAAGTATCACACTCCAAGCAAATATGACAATGTCCGATTTACAACGGTACCCTTTAAAGTTTTGTCTGAACAGTATAAATTATAGATATTATAGATATGCATGTATTTTAGTAGTATAGTCTCTTGGAACTGTTAATTTGCATTTTTGGATTCTCTGCTATAGAACTTATCAGAAACAATGAGAAAATTCACAAAAATTAACACTTTTCTAGTCAGAAAAACGTCGTTTTAAATCGGGCATTGCAATCTTTAAAATTAGGCTTACAGACCCTCTAAATCACTCTTTCAAATTGAGGATGAATGACTGTTTTAGTAAAGAATGTCCATTTCTTATTAAATTTTATGAGATGGACAAATGAACATTTAAAAAAATAGTTTTATTAATTTATTAAATAATTTATCAGGATCAGAAAGAAGAGGATGTACTAGCAGGGCTTCTGGTATTTCTACACTAACTACCAGAACACATCAATATAGGTCATTAATAGTTAATTTCTTGATAATAATCAATTAACTAATAATAATTATCTCAGTCAAATTATTATTGAAAATTATTATCTTATTATTTTAGGAAGAAAAATATGACAAAGCAAAGAAGAAAGGGATCCACTTGTCACTGCAGAGAAAAGGGTAATTTTATTTATATTTCAATATTTAGAATTTTTGAAACTAATTTTGAATGAAATAGCAAGGAATCAGTGTAGTCTGTACAATGCTAATACTTTAGAGGAACTTTAGTTGCATGTAGACTAGTAACTATAGGAACATGTACAGGAATGTAATAGGAACAGGAACAGGAATAGGAACAGGAACAGGAACAGGAATAGGAACAGTAATAGGAACAGGAACAGGAACAGGAACAGGAACAGGAACAGGAACAGGAACAGGAACAGGAACAGGAACAGGAACAGGAACAGGAACAGGAACAGGAACAGGAACAGGAACAGGAACAGGAACAGGAACAGGAACAGGAACAGGAACAGGAACAGGAACAGGAACAGGAACAGGAACAGGAACAGGAACAGGAACAGGAACAGGAACAGGAACAGGAACAGGAACAGGAACAGGAACNTGAAATGTGCAGAAACTAAAGGCGTGAAAAGGGGGGAAGAAAGGGGATAGTACAGTACACCATAACGCCGGTGTTTCGTGTATAGTATTTCTTCTTCTTGCGTTTTGAAATTCAACGTTTTTGTTGTCAAGCATTTCCTGTTTTCCTTCATCTTTATTCATGGAAAGGGGAATTTAAAGAAATCATAATATTTAGTAGAATTCTAGATGATGTCATTTTTTCAACAAACAATTAAACTTAAAAAGACTGCAGACGTAATTTCAAGTCATTGAAAGAGTGGCACATCTGATTCACACTGGTGTCCTTTAAATCCAAGGTTTTAATGCAAGGAAAGTTATTTCAGAGGTGTACACATCTTTTGTACTGCAGTGTACTGTCTCTGGGCGGTAGTAAACACAAGAAGGATGTCGAAGCCTGACATTGGATCCATCTTTCTCATAAAAAAAACAATGAAATATTCTGGTGAAAGGAAACTATTATGTGAATTATCAAAATTATCAAAGTTTAATGCTTTTAACCTCCTCGGCTATTAAACGAACACTGATGCATCTATTCGTGTTTACAAATTCCACCCAGAGAGACCTGGTTTCAATATGTACGCAGAGTATACGCAACTGCAATTAACTTTCCTTGCATTCTATGGTTAAATCTTTTTGTAATCAAGAACAAAATAGATATTATTGTTTTCTAACTGAAAATTGTTTGTTATTAATTATAGTTTATTCTTCGAGACATTTCAATATAGAAAACGAGAATATGATCATCATCCCTTTGCATGGGGGGTCACTTTTAATTTCGTCTGCAGTCCTAATAAAACTTATATTCTCAAAAATATTTTTAAAGAAATGCAAATATAAAATATAAAAATTTCCTCTGTATTGATTTTAAGTGGGGGAAAGGGGAAACTCCCCTATAGTTTGTCCCTTAATATTTTCCTTTTTAGCGTACTTTATAAGAAATTTACAGACAACTTATAATCAATATTATATATATTATATATGTATATTTTAACTAAAGAAATTCAATGTCGTCATTAAAGGGTACTAAAAATATAGTTCTGAATTTTAATAACTATTCATAACACTGTTATTTTGGTTCGCAGTGACAAAGTTTTTTTGGACAGAAGTTTTCTCGTTATCGTGATATAGAGAAAATTTAAGTCCAAGAACTTTAAAGCACGTCGTGCCAAAATAATAGTGTTATAGGTAATTTTATGAAACGTTTGTGTACTTATTTCAATGGCTATTTCTAGATCAAATAAGCTTTGAAACAAAGCAGTAGTCAAAATATAAAGTTGATTTCAATCTTATTTTTATTTCAATTAAAAAAATATATTTTGGAAATATCCTAAATTTTTTGGAGAAAATCCGGGAACCAATCAAAACTTTATAGCACTCGTACTATAATGTACAGTTAATTTAACATTATAGCACGATGATTACTTTATAGCACGTTCATTATGAAATTCACGATGAAGCGAGGAAGAATGATAAATTAAACAATAGTTTCATAAAATGTTTTTAACATTTTTGAAGTATCTATCAAAGTTTATATATATGCAATATTACCGTTAAAAGAAATACAAACAAACAAAAAAATTATTAACTCTGGACGCCGTAGGTTTACAAAAATATCATTTAACACAATTTTCGAAATGGTTAAGATTACATTTTTAGGACACCGTGTTGAGAAATAAATATATAAAGCAAACCGACATGGTTCTGATTTTAGAAAAAAAATTATATCAAAATTCTGGTTCCATATCCGTTCACCTGTTTCGAAGGGGGATAGGTTGGAGG